TCCTGATGCACAGCTCTCATTTAAGTTGTCTGGCTTCTCTGTTTCCAGGGTGCACGACGATGATAAACCCAACTCTTGACCGTTTTAAGGCACTAGTCAGGGTAACTTTGAAGATAAGTAGTTGGATGAGATGAAACCTTTTTTGCTGATGGCTTTCTCTTTTTTTCTTGAATATATATTTATGAGAAGTTATTTAAAGGTTTTGGGTATGGAGAAAAGCCAGAGTGAGATGTGAGGGGACTGGGAGGATGATAGATGTGCTATGCAACACAACCACCTGCCTTGCCAAACAGCTATTGCTGTGTATGCTGGGTGTCTAGGCACGCAAAACCAGCCAGGCAGAGTTCCCATTTTGCTGTGGATAAAACTGGGTACATTTATCCCATAAAACTGGGTACATTTAACCCATGCCTGGGATCTTCTGTTAACTCCAAGTTATGGTGTTCTGTTTTTTTAGAAGCCTTACTGAGACTTCTGCTATTCCTGCTGTTTTGCAGTATCTCTGTAGGATTTCTCTCTGCCTTTCCTTCTATGAGATTCAGGAGTCCCTCACCCTAGGTATAAATATCTGTGTGCCATTTGGTCCCAGCTAATCACTGATGGTAACTTTATTTGCATCTCTCTGGCAAGTTCTGGCTCTCGAGTTTGAAGTGGTTCACTGGAAGGGCCCATGAATGTGCCATCTTATTAAATCTGTTGTAGCCTGGTTTGCGTGAATTGGAACAAAGCTTGGGCTTGGAGATGAAAAATAAAAACAACCCTGTCCTGTCTTCAAGGATGTAGGAAAAGACTGACCCACTAAGCCAACCTCCATCAGGAAACTACTGCTCTTTCTGTTAGATGATAATTTTCATCCCACTCCCAAAAAATGCAGGAGGAGAAAATGGGTCACGTTGTGATCATGGCAGAGTTTTAAGACCAAAATCGAATGTGAACTCAAAACCCTACAAAGAAAATGTTTTTGTCTAATTGTTTTGCATTTCCATAATGCTTAGTAGGATAAAACAGTCTTCTCTCTCTCCTTTATTTTTCAATCACGATTAGACTTTAATGTTATTAAAGCTTATAAGTGAGTTTGAGGCACTGTCTTGTTGAAGAGAAGATGGAGCTGAAATTTTCAGTGAGGCATTGGACAGGGTTTTTAATGTGTCTGTCATTATATGTTAACCTCTGAACTAGGACACGATGTCTGTTTTATGGCTGACAACAATTTAAAAGTATACATCTTGACATGGTGGATAAAGGAAGAAGGGGGAGTGGAGAAGAAAAAAAGAATTAATGATGTTAGCAAATATTAGTCCCTGTATTTCCATTTTGCTCCGAAAGTGGTTGTCAGGCTTTGAGGCTGCCTGGAGCAGCATTGCCAGTGACAGGCAGCGGGGATGCCATTGTCCCTTGAATCGAGCCGGGCTTTTATTGACACACACACGGGGCTCCGAGGCAGGGACGGGGAACGCTCTGCTGTCTGTTCCGGGACGAGTGCGGATTTCCTCCTGGCATTCCTGGTGACATTTGAGAAGGATAGTTCTGGGCTTAGTGGAGTTCCCTGCGCTGGTCTGTGAGCACGCTGGGAGTCAGGGGAGTTGAAAGTGTCTCTAAAGGAGTACAGGTGCTGTATACAGAGACACGGATCTGTCCGTGATTTATGCTGGCTCTGGTCAGCCAGACCCGCCCACCAAAGTTAACTGTCAGGAGTAACAGTGACTTGGACATCAGCCTTAATTGTACACAAGCCACAAAGAATCAGCGGGCAAGAATTAGGGATAAGCATGAGAAATTCCATGTACCATTCCACATACCTGTTTAAGGCATCTCTTAACACTTGTTTATCATCTCTTCCTGAATCTTCTATGTGCCCCTGCCTGTGCTTTGGCACAGAAGTGCAATTTTCTAAGGTTTCTTCATGTGCTGTCACGAACTCCTCTTTATTCCCACAGTTTTTAACTGGCAGTTTAAGAGCAATCCCCTCACACTCATGGAGCCCGCAGCAATTTTGCCTTTGCTACAGCGTCTGTCTTGCGTGGTCTAACTGTGGATAATACTGCTGTCACCTCTGTTGGATTCTGCTTGGAAATTATGGGAGCCTGGGATCATGTTATTCCATAACTGTCATTAGTTACATGTGTATCTGCGGTGCTTTCTGCACGGCACTGCCAGCAGCGAAAGAAATGGAGCTGGCTTAATTCAGAGCCACATAGTTAATTATTAGTGCCTTTTCAACGGAGGAGAGAGGAAATTTGCAGTGTCAGGTTTTAATTTCATTGTGGTGTGCAGGGTGATGTGACTTTAAACTCGCCAGTCATTGTCTGTGTGTAGGTAGCACTGGGTTTATCTTCCCAGCCTTAAAAGCCCTTTTTTTTTGCTGTAGAAATATCAAAAGATTTAAGAAGGAAAAAGGCATCTCTGCGTTACTGGTTCCGTCAGCCAGGATGGGCAACGGTCAAAAACACAGGTTGCTGTCAGCACGGTGGCTGTGACGTGGTTTGGAAGGAGCAGCTGCTGCTGTCCCACCTTTTGTGTCGCTGAGTTTGGTTCGTTGTGCTTGGATGTTGCTGGACAGCACAGATTTTGGAATGAACTCATGGATAGCCGTACTGTCAAGGGCAGCTGGAAAGAAACGAGTTTGTATCCGCATGGCAGCAGAATTAATGTTTTTTTTGGGAAGAAGTCTTCCTCATAACCTGGGCAGATTCCCCTTGAGAAAGTGCAGTGGGGATGAGTGGTAGAGCCATGATGCTTCATTCGTGGCTTTGCAGAGTAGGGGCACACATTAAATCCTGGGGGAACAGCTGAATCTTTTCCTGGACTTCCTTCGTGAACTTGTTCTACATATCAAGGGCCCTGATGGAAAAAGTTTGGTTCAGCATTCATAAATTGAATATTGAGTTAGCTATTTCTGTGTGAAAGAGATCAGATAAAAGCTACTTGGACAAAGTAACTTGTACATGGATTAAAAGCCAGAGAAGTTTTTGCCTGAGCACTTTTGGGAAAGTCTTTTTCGCTGAGTTTCCCGATGGCCTTATGTGTGCTCAATCAGCGTGATTAATCTGTGGTAGAAATGCATTCGTTGTGCAAAGAAGGTGAACTTAATCCCAGTAACCTTTTTTTTTTCCCCCTAACAATTTCTCTAGAAAGATGAAATGTATTTTTTCAAATGTTTTTTTCTGACTTGGGGAAAAAAACAACCACCAGAACTGGAGTAGGGAGAGGTAAAAGAATATAGATTAAAATTTTTTTTGCAGTTTCTGATACTGGTTGAATACCCACCATCCCTCACAATCAAACAGGATAGATGTGAGCATAGCATTACTGTATAGGTATAACTCTTGCATGCACTTGCAGATGATCTGAAATTAATTTTCTCTATAAGTGGTGTGGAAATAACTTGTGGACAGTAAGGTTCTCTGCTAAATAATTTTTTAAGAGGGGCACTGCACTGTAAAGATTCTGAAACCCTTTCTCTTCAGGAACTTCATGTCACCTTCTACTCTAAATTAGAAAAGGCCTAAATGCAATAGAATAGTTTTCAAAGCCAATTTCCTTTCGATTTTTTCTTTTAAACAAGTATGTCTGTGATATCTGCAAACCCAAAGCAGTAAATAGATTTATAACAAAAGCAACCAAGGTAGCAGGAAGAAAGATATAGAAACATGGAGGGTTTTTTGGAAAAAAAAAAGAAACATCTTTCTAGGTAGAATTCTGATAAGGCAATAACATTTTTTTGTGTAATCAAGTTGATTAGAGGGATGGAACACCCTTCCTGTAAGGAGAGAATTGGGATTGTTCAGCCTGGACAAGAGAAGGCTTTGGGGTGGCCTAATTACAGCCTTCCAAAACCTGAAGAGAACCTACAAGAGAGATGGAGAGAGACTATTTACAAGAGCATGGGGTGACAGGATGAGGAGGAATGGCTTAAACTGACATGTTTAGATTAGGTATTAGATATTAGGAAGAAATTCTTTATTGTGAGGGTGGGGAGGCCCTGGCACAGGTTGCCCAGAGAAGCTTTGGCTGCCTCATCCCTGGAAGTGTTCTAGGCCAGGTCAGACAGGATTTGGAGCAACCTGGGACAGTGGAAAGTGTCCCTGCCCATGGCAGGGGGTTGGAACATGGTCAGCTTTAATGGCCCTTGCAACCCAAACCATTTCAGGATTCTGTGATTCTCTGGTTTGATGTATTGCAGCTACAGAGAGGCTGCAACATGGCTGTGACAGTCTCTCATCACAAAATGCCACGGTACTGTCAACTCTGATAACTACAAGTTGCAATTAATGGGCTGGTTTTATAAGGAATTACTGCTGCACATTGCAAACCAGTTTGGACTGCTTACCTGAAAACCAAAATACTACATGTTGTACAAGAGTCGGGGTTTCTGATGCCCTGCAACCCCTAATTGGGTCAGGCTTTCCGATAGCAGGCACTGAAAGTCTGGCATCAGCGTAAGGCCAGGCAGTTGAAGATCCCAAGCTGCAGGATGGTTTTTTGAAAAGGTAGGCCTGGGGCTCCGTATCGATCAATCATTATTCTAATTGTTCATTTCTATTATGGTGGGGATCATTCAGAATCTTAGAGTTCCTGGGAGTAAATCATTTGGAAATGCTGCCCATTATAAAATTTAATTTTAAATCTATATTAAATAGATTTATAAAGGCAAGCTTTGCAATCTAGTAACAAGAACATTATGCTGCCTCACAGAGGCTCGGCTTTGGGGTCCTGAGGGGCCAGGAATGCTGCGGAGGAAACGCGCTGGGGCTTGTGGTGAGTGGGGTGGTGGTGCTGCCAAGCCTCTGGGCCACCTTCACAGCAGCATTGATCCTGTTTGCCGTGAGATCCATCCAGCTATTCCAGAGGGAGTGGAGTCATGGGGTACTGTTTGCTGTGAAATGAGGCTTCCAGAGGGCTGATCCCGTCTCTGGGGTGGGAAAAAGGGTGGGAAATGGCAGAAAGTTGGGAATGGGGTGGGAGCTGGGATGCTGGACCAATCTTTCTTTTTCTTTCAGACAACAGAGAAGAGGGCAAAGGAAAGCAAAACTGTGTTTGGAGGCCCAGTCATCAGCTCGTTGTATCAAGAAGAAACAATCAGGTGATTATCTGTACTGGAATTCGGTTAAAACCAGTATTTTTATAATGCCATTTTGCTAAGCTTCTTTTTTTAATAATTGCACAAGTGTGGTGGTGACTACAACAGGATAATAAATGACAGGAAAGAACTTTTCAGGTCCATAATCATTTAAATCAATATCTGCCTGTATCACTGCCAGGTAGTAACCTTTCCCTAGCACAAGATGTGGGGGAAGGGCAAGGCTTCCCATTTTTCAGCTATATGGCTAAAAAAAAAAAAAGGTAATATTGGATATTTTTAATAGAAAGCTATTCAGACACTACCTTTTCCAAATAGTTATTTCTTTACCAATACATTCATTAGGGATTGTTCAGTGAAGGTTTTAGTGTTGAACAATGTTTACCTTCAGGGAGAGTTTGTACCTTACATCAAATTAATGTTTTTTTCTGGCCTCTGCAGCTAGCAAAGCAGAAATGCATTTACTAAAACCAGAGTTGCTGCTATTTAAAACTGTCAAGGTGCAAGTAGTAAGTGACATAAGCTACTCAATAAGGATAGCTGGATGTTTTTGGTTTGGTTTGGTTTGGTTTTTTACTGTTCCAATCAGAGAAGAATTTATTTTTGAGCAGCGTTTTTGCTGTCATGTTGCAGTCACCCATTTACATGTACGTGATCCCATTTTTTATTGGATGTCTTGCATCATTTCGGTCCCAGGAAATTAAAAGTTAAACACTGATTTCCCTATACACAGCCTCCAAAGCTTGATGAGAACTAAAACTCAACACAGCATTTCTTTGACTTGTTGTCACAAAGTAATCTTGAGCAGGTGGTTCCAAACCATTTGGGAGGAGCTCAGGTAGGAGTTGATACAGCTGTTGCAAGCAAATAGGGTGGCAGCTTTGTGCTTGGCAGTAACACAGGCATTTCCCACGAGGTTGCAATCCACTTTATAGTGAAGTGGAGCAGTGGGCCAGGAATAGTCTTCTTCCCTCGCATGGGGAGCCAACACATCTTTAACTTGCCCCTGGACCTTGACCAGAGGTGGTCAGATGTGACCTTGGTTTAACACAGTGTTTGAGGAATGGCACTTCTGGCAGCCACAAGCTCCTTTTTCTTCCCTGCTCTGTCAGTGCGGGTCTCAGCCACCTACTTGATCTCATAGTTTGACCTTGTGTAAGTATAGGCACATCTCTAATGTAATAATTATAATAATAAAACCGTAGCCCTACACAAAATTGCCCTGATACCAAACCTGCAAGCAGATGAACCAAAGAAGAGTGGCTCTAGACATTCAGTTTGGTGTCAAAATTTGTCTAGAGCATGAATTGGTATGGTAGTTGTAGCATTCACCTGAGAAGGGTGGCTTTTGTGAGGCTGTGAGTGGTTACTTACAAGAGCATAAGGTTAGCATTCAGTAATGCTTCATAAAATAGCATGTAGTCTTAAAAAACACGGCATTTTCTGTAGGGGAAAAACATGCAAATGTTTAAAGAGAAATAAAACTGAATAGCTTGAGCCAGCATAAACTTTAACACTTCGATTATTACAGGTAAGTCCCGTGCTGTGAGTTCAGTGTGTACATTTGTGCTGCCTCAAAACCAGCTACCTGAGAAAGGAAACTTTGATACAGGTTGTTTACTGACTCGGTTTTCTATGGTGGGTTGACTGAAGCTTTACAACACGCTTGCAAAAATTGGGATATAAATCAAACGACTTTAGTCTCTGCTTCCCAGGGCTGTTGATAGGATAAATATTTTCTTGTTACAGGATCGTATTCAGGAAGCCCAAAATAAGCAAAAAAACCCTCCTTTTTTGTGTACTGAAAAGTAAAACTTGAGTCCTCATCAGGTCTGAGCTCTGACAGACCGCTGAAAGCAATTTCTCAGCCGGCATTACTCTGCCAAACACAGCCTACCGTATGCCCTTTAGGATTCTGCTGATGCAACGGCAGGAAAAGGCTGCTAATTTATCTGGAGCATCGTCACAACCTCACCTTGCACCAGGAGATAGACAAGGATGCAAGTGCAGAGTTTTGCAGGTTCACCTAAGCAGGATCGCTTGTTTTATTCTTGCCAGGAGCTTTTGAACAGTTCATCAAAAAGTTAACGTCCTCCAAGCTGCTGCTGTGTAATAAATAGGAAGAGGATCTTGTTTAAATAGAATAAACCACCGGTTTGCCACCAGCAGTAGTTACCAACAAAGCAGCAGTGCCCTTGCTTTCAAACTGTGTCTAAAATTATGCATAAATAATGCTTACCTTCCTCTTGTGGAATGAAACGCTGGGGTTTTAGGATGCAGAGATATAAATGCTGGACAAAGTGGGAGTTACCATACCCTGCCCTAAAGTGGATCAGCCGTAGGAGGAACTCGGTGCCAGGGCTGGTTTTTGCCTTATCACTAATTATCTCAAATGCTTCTAATTGAGAACAAGATAGAAAAATGGCCAGTCTGGCTCACAGAAATACATTGCAGTGATTCCAAATAAATTCAAGAGCATCCATAGAAACAGGTTACACCGATCTAATTAAATCAATTTAGAAAGAGATTCAGTTAAATCAGTGCAATTTGTGTGTTCATAGATCAATCCTCAAATCAGGAGAAGGTCTCTTGAGCTAATGAGGCGTAGCAGTTATTTACTTTGGGGTGCTGGGCACTGGTCATCAATTAGGAGTCATTAATAAACCCTGGCAATAAAGAGCTCGAGTACCCCCAGTGAGTAATGGGGAGCAGTTGCAGGATGTATTAGCATAGTGCTCTGCCTCTGGGCTTCTCTGCAAATCACTTATCTCCCCTCAGGCATTACATAAAAACCCTGTGTGCTGGTGAGTGATGATGGGACTTGGAGGTTCCCCCCGGAAGGAAAGATTTAGAAATTATCTGTGATTTCAGGTTGCATATAGTGGTGGTTTGTTTCTTTTTTTTTTTTTTTTTTTTTTTTTTTAACTGCTACATAAAGCTTAATGTCTCTTTTTGGTGCTGTATTACCAGAACAAAGCCATAGTAGTGGAGCTCTTTCATGATCAAATCACTGTAATTAGAGTTTCACAAACCTGGGAAATGAGCAGGGAGCTGAAGTTGACTGATGTGTTACCAGTATAAATCTCATCCTAGACACAAACTGAGAGAGATGCCAAAAATACTATAGCCTTGGAAATTCGGCTTTAAAGTTATTTTTCAGGTTGTTTTTTTTTTTTAAAGCCAGGGAAAGGAGGAAACAGTTTCTAAGTGTTTTCAGCAAACGAAAGCATTGATTTGGCAGGTGAAGAATGAGAAATAATTTTGCCAAATGTCCGTTATCCCTTTGCACTGCCACTGGAGGAGCCCTCCTGCACTCTGCCACGAGCTGCTTCCATGCAGCCTTGGCATGCTGGCATGGGAATGACATCTACCAGTCGGCAGAGAGGCCTTCCCGAGCTGTGCTTTACTCTTCTGCCATCCAGAGGGATGCTGAAGAATCTGGTAGAAACTTCCACCCTTCCCTCTAACACTTGCGAGCAACCCCAGTCACGAGTGGGGCTCCGTTTAGGGCTGGGACGCGGGGCGGGCACCCCTCGGGTTTGGGACCTGCCTGATGCCGTGTAATCTATCAGAATTGTATTAATCCCACTAACACAGCCTCCATCTGGCCCCGCTGCCGGGCCGGCTCGCGCGAGCCCCGGTGATGGATGGCCCTGGGAATTGATTAGTTGTTGTGCGAGACAAATGAACTGTTTTGGCAGAAAATACCAGAGGTCGCTGCATGTGGTCAGGCACAAAGGCTGCTGAATTTTAAAGAGCTGCTTCCAGCATCCATTGCAAGGATGGTGCTTCGGAACAGTGACGGGTTTTGAGACGAGCCCAGCGCTCCGGAGCGTGGTTGGGGTTTTTGTTGTCTCCCTCCAGGCCTGCTTTCGGGAATGTCTGCACTGGAAATAAGCGCCAGGCTGCAGGGACGTGTGAGCCGGGCATCCTTGCCGTGTTGGGAATTGTGGGTTCGTGGGGGTATCGTGCGTGTGGGTGGCTGCGCCACAGATGTCTGTCACCTGGGCTGTGCAGTCCCTGTGGAAGAGCTTTCCCGGTTGTGCGGTGCCCAGGCAGCCTGGGGGGTTTTTTTCAGGTCAGTGTTATTTAGAAATGGATGCTCTCCTGGCGATGTTCAGCGGGCAGATCTCTTGGCTTCAAGATGATTGCCAAGTTTATTGCTTCCCCCCTTTTTGTTGTCCCCGGAGCAGTGACCCTTGGGGCTTTTGCCTTATTGTGCAAGGGGGGCCTGGGCTCAGGCCTGCCTCCTCTTTGTGAGAGCTCATCCTTCAGTGGAGGCTCCTATCTGGGGTTGTCACGGCCACCTCCTCTCCGGTGCTGCCACTGATGTGCCGAAGTGTGTGTGGCGGGTGGGGAATTGGACGACACGTGTCTTGCTGTGTCTCGGTGGCTCTCAGAGGACGGCACACGAGTGTGCCAGCAAGTGGGCAACCCTTCCCTCGGGACAGCCTGCCGGCTCAAAATAAACTTGAGTTATGGATTTATTCAGCTTGTAAAACCTCAGCTGGCATAAATAATTGAGAAAGCAAAGGTTTGTCTGTGGTGCGTACCTCAGGGACCCGCTCCTGCCTCCCTCCCTCCCACCACCCTTTCTTATGAAAATGATCCCAGTTGCACTGATAGATAATAACAACACCAAGCAATTAAAAGCTATGGGTGGCTGGAGAGAGGAGAAAAGGTTCAGTTAATGAGCTTTTCCTCTTCCTGTGCCCAGGAGAGCCTCAGAAGTGACGAGGCGATTAAAGCGAAGAGATAATTATAGATTATGTGAAAATGGGTCCCTTGGGGGCCGAGGGCCTTGACATAAACAGTGAGTGTTGCAAGTGTCTCTGGGCTCCCTGCACACATCCTGCCCCGCTCCACCGCGCATCCTGCTCACTTGGCAGCGCCGTGCCAACCAGACGGGCAAAGCCACCTGTTAGCGGTGAGTCCACTGGGACGTGGCTTGGACCAGCCCCGGGAAAAAGGGGCGAGGACGCCCCGAGTAGAACCTGATCTCAGCCCTCTGCCCTGAGCTTTGCACTGGAGGTAACCTGCGAGGGGGGAGGAAGGGCACGGGCCGAGCCTGGAGGGTGTTCTCTGCGCGAGGGTAAAATGTCTGAATTTCAAGTCTCTTCTGTGCCCTTTTCAGTGGCAGCCTTGGTGGCAAGGAGGTTTGTAACACTCCAGGTAAGAAGGAAGTGAAGCCCGATCAACCAGCACCAGATCTTTTCCATGAGGTGTTTATAAACTGTTGGCTCAATACGTGTGTTTTGGACAGCTTGTGGAGAAGGCTTGTGAAACCTTCCAAGCTTGGGGAAAGATGGGCTTGGTGTAAATCCTTCCACATCCTTTTATTCAAGGATGGAAAAAGCTACCTGTGTGTTACTTGCAGGCAACAGGTGCGCCTCAACTCACAGTTAAATCAGAATTAGCATCTCCTACTGGGGATGGGGGAGAGCAGGAGAAAAGAGCTTTGGAGACTGAACATGTGTCAGCAAGGGAGAAGAGAAACCCTCTGGCCATCCTCAGGAAACAGATGTAAACACACTCACTGCCTTTACTGACAGTCAAGTGGTCACTGACTTGAAGGCTCCTTTCTGGCTCAACAGTCTGACACGGAAAGAAAATTGCATCCAAGTCTTCCTTTTAGCTACAGGTTTTAAATCATTGTGCACATCTCCGTTAGGTTGAGTTTCATGGTCCTTCCCATACATTCAGATATGCCTAATACTCTGGTTTTTACGTGAATTGAGATTTTTCTGAGCAATGTTTTTGCACTGTCACTTACTTCTGTATTTCCAACGTGCTTCTGCCTGGTTTTATACTGTAGCCCATAAGGCAATCCATCTACGTCCTGAGGACCTCGCTGCCACCGTCCAAGCGTGCTTGGCCCCGGCAGATGAACCTCAGGATTAAAGGGTGGGCTCAGTTCCGCGCACACTGTGTCTCACCTAAAAAATCCAATGCGCAGGCTGGAAGGTGGAAAGACCTTCCCTGGTTCTTCGTTCGCGAAGACTGGCCAAGAAAAAAAAAAATACTGTTTTTACCAGTTTTGGGGCCTTCCTGCCAACTCTTACCGGTTTTATGAGGAGTGCAAATTCCTACTGGGAACAGGTCTGATAAAAACATTACATCCTTTTTGTTTTCTTGTAGCTACTACAGTGGAGGGATTATTAAAAATGAACACATGCACACAATGTGAAATAAAGGGAGGGAAAAAACGGAGTTGCCACGTTTTCAAGCTGTGTTTCTTATTTGTTCTGTATGGTTTTGAGTGCAAAGTCAGCAAATAACAGTAACTTGTCCTTATTCCATTCACACCATTCAAGGGGAATGTTTTCCCTAGCGTTGGTCCCTTCAAAAATCTGGTTTTAACTCCTCTGAGCCCTTTTCTCAGTGTCCCCTCCTGGTTTTGGCATGTCTCTAGATCAGATAGTTTTAAATGTCTGGAGTGTAGCTTCACGTGACTGTTTGATTTGCAGGTAAAATGTCTTTTGTTGCTACTCTATGGACTTCCCTCAAATGTGTTCAGGAAAGGGCTTGTTTCTCATTGTTAATATTTATAAAAAAGTTGGATATGATATATGCCTAATTTTTTGGAAGAGGGCATCGGGAGCAGGGGAGTGGTTTAAAGCTTGAGAAATAAATACAGAGTAGAAGGATGAAATTTCCCGAAACCTTGTCTTCGGGTGGGGAAATTGGTATTCTGGATTAATTCCATTGTGGATACTTCTGAAAGAAAAGTGGCTTTTTGGAAGGGGGATATATAGAGCATTTGCAGAGTTGGTTATTCCAGAGAGCTAAATCACATCCAAATAGCTGTGTCAGGTCATTTTCCCCTTGCAGACAATAATATCCTTGGAAAAAAGACTGTAAAAGTCCTGTCTGGAGGCTGTGGTGGGAAGATGGGCTGGGTTTGGTACATCAGGGTTGCAGTGCCCTCTCTGCTGGCAACAGACCTGCACACACTCCCCCTGGAGCACAGTCAGGTGCTTTATTGCTGCCACGTACTCGCTGGTACCTCTGGTGCTGCAGTGGGAGGTCTGTCAGGGCTCTGCAGCTCGTGGGATGACCAGGTGGCATCGCTGCCAGGGATGGAGGGTACAGCCCGAGCTCATGGTCGTGACATGGAAAATCACCCAGGAATAACTGAGGATGGCTGTGGACTTCCCTAGCAAGGAGACACTGGGGGTTTGCTTTGGTGTTACGGAAAAAAGAGTGATCCGTAACAAGCAAGGGGTGTGCGGTGGTGCAGTGGGGAGCCAAGTTACTGTACGGCGTTGTCTGAAAAGCAGCTTCTCCCCAAAGGCTGCTGTCAGCAGCCAAGGGTGTGTTGGAGAGGTTGGACTAACAAGGTAGGACTGGAGGGACTTCCCAGCATATCAAATCAGCCCTTGTTAGTAGGGGCAGGCATGTCTCGTGACCTCCATCACGAGTCTGTCAAGCTCCATCTCCAGCATTACAAGCTTTTGCCTTTTCTAATCCCACCATGAGGTTCTTTTTTCCTCGAAATTCAAGGTAATTGCATCTAAAGCATGCAGTGCTCTGCTTCCCATGTGTAGTGAGCAGGCAAGACCTCCAACAAATGAGTTCATGACAGACTGGTTAAGAAACTGGGAGACTTCTGTACTGTGAAATCTTGTGTGGCTCCAGCTCTTCACTGGAAAGGTGCAGCTCAGTTGTCTGCAAGGAAAAATAGGGGTGATGTGCTGGAGAACAGTGCTACTAGGAGAGCAAGGTGAGAGGGAGGTCAGAGGAAGTGACTTTTTTGGAGAAAGCAGTGATCTGCTGCTGGAACTGAGCATCAGCACTTTTTCCCACCTTTCTCTGAGGAAACAGAGTATAACTCACTAGGCTAGATGCATAACAATCAAAGTCAGAGCTCTGCCTGCCCTGATGGGAGCAGGGGACGTGGTCTTGGTGGCATTGATATTTTCTTTTTTTGGGGGGATTGCAGGTCAAAGAGCAACCCTTTTGTTTGTAATCCATTGCTCATGCAATGTTATTCAGATTTTACTTTTCGCTTCCCCTGACATTATTCGGCATGTGATGTTCAAGAGCAGTGCAGATGAATAGGAGGAGCGTGTTGCCTTTTAGCACCAGTGCATCAGTCCTCAAACTGCACTGTTGGATTTCTCCTGACCAAAAGGCCCACAGCAGAATGACCTCCTCACTGGGTCTGACCAGCTCCAGCAACCTCCCCTTTTTACAAGTAACTGAGGCGTTCAATCTGAGTTCTGCTGAACATCCAGATGGTCTTATGTTAAGGTGATTGAAAACTGGGGATGTCATGTGAGGCACTGACTTTGTGTTTAACTCTTGTGAAGCTGCCAAGTCCCTTAGCAACACTGGTGGGTTCATTTGAACACAGTTTTCATCTGGAAACTTGAAAGAGAGGGGAGTATGTGGGCTTTTGGCTTATTTTTATAAAACCAATTGCCTCTTTTCTTTATTCCCTTTTAGCCACACAGTTGGATCAGTGTATTTAAACCTAAAGGTATTATTCTTTTAAGAATCTGAGAAAGGTCTTAACTTCATTGCAGGTTCTGTTTGTTTGGCTGGTAAGGAGGGAAGCTTTAGTGTGTCTGAAGCCAGAGTATTGCTTTTATCTCTAGAAGATGTGACTCAAGCACTTGTGACGCCACAATTGGATCTTCCTGCCTGCAAGTGGTCCTCAGTGAGCACCTGCTGGTGTTATATCCAGGATCCACTGTGTAAACAGATTGCTTTGCTTGTGTCCTGCTTGTTCTGCTGCTTTGTCCAAGCCACATTAGTGGCCACTGTCTGAGATGGATGGCATCAGACAGGGCTTTTGTGGGACCCAGAGTGGCTCTTAAGGCAAGAGCAACTTCCTTTCTCTTTTGTGGGATTGCAGTGATTTATACCAAAAATTCAAACATGGATTTTTCTGGTTAACCCCAGACATTTCTTGTGCCATTTCACAGGAGTAAGCTGACTTTTGTCAGGACATAATACTGCTAAATACCTTTGTTTCTGTAGGAAGCAGGATCTTCTGCCTCCTAACTTGGGAGAAAAAAACCCCACGTTATTCTGCATGTGCAATACTAGGTGCCTGTTTCAGTCCAGTGACAGCACTGAAATGTCATTGAAATGAGCATATGATGTGTGTGTATGTGGCTTTTGTGTTGTGCAGTAACACAGTGGTTCTTTGCTTTTGTTTCCTGAATAGGGAAGAGGACAAGAACATTTTTGATTACTGCAGAGAAAACAACATTGACTATGTAACCAAAGCCATTCAATCAAAAAAAGTGGATGTGAACGTCACAGATGAGGAGGTATGGAGAAAAAGGAACCATCAATCTTTGATCTGTGTTGTGTGTTAATTCAGTGCTACTTCTTTTTAAAATTCCCTGGTTGGGTTTGTTATAACAAGGTATGGTAACAGTTGGGCAAACTCTTGGTCACTGAGACAGGGATAATCTATTGGAAAACAGCTTTCCACTGGATTTCTAGTAGTGTGTGGATGTAGTAACTGTGATGCTTTGGTGTATCAGAAGCTTAGTTCCTATATTATTTTCAGCAGCCACTTGCAGAATAAGGTCTTCTGAATGCCTCCCTTTCCCCACTTTGTGTACTAAATACGGTCCAACAGAGTTAGGAAGTGAGGGAAATGGGTTTTTTGGCCGATGACCTCTGTTCAGGCTTGAAGCAGGATTTCTGTCATGCCGCCAGCTTTTCATCGTTCCCAGGTGGAGGGTAAATGAGTGACACTGGCTTTCCAGCTTCACAGAAATAGTGACATCATCAAGTCTTTCTCTCCTCACCAAACTCAAAACCCCATTCCCCCACAGGGAGGTAATGCGGGTGTTGCCAGAAACTCCCAAGAAAAAGCTGTGTCTAAAACTGTGGATTGGCTTGATCTTTTCCTTGGTAAGAACAACTGTCCTGGTGTGGACAGTTTCGTGTTAGTCCTCCAGGAACTGTGGCTGTACCAGGTTTGTCACCTCGATTTCTGTGCTTGCACACTGCCACCCGTCCCTGCTCCTGGTCTAACCTTGTGCACAGCTCCTTTTGCCCGCTGCCTTGCAGCACGTTGTGCTGTGGTGAACAGATGAAGTGCTTAGACATTCATAGACTGAGACGCCACAAATTCAGTTGGGTTCTCCTGTAGCTCTAAGCAGATTTCTGCCCTCTGAGCCATGACAGCCCCGGCTGGGGCCCTGAATGCTGATGGCAGGGCCTGTTATTATTAATCAGGAATTCATGTGAATTAATTTTCAGAGGAGAGGAGGGAGGGTGTTCACGATCGGGGTTGGAATTTCACATCATAAATTCAATGAACTGAAACTGTCGTGTGCCACACAGTCGCTGCTTCAGCACTGAGCTCCATCCCTCCTCCTGCTGATCACAGGCTACAGAAGGGAATGTCCAAGGCAGTCCTACAGAATGCTGTAGTCCTTTCATTAAAAAAAAAAGCTCATTTTTGGGATCACGTGCTTGCAATAAGCGTATAATAATGCCATGCTAACACTGCTTTGTTCCCACTGGCAAGGTGCTCTTTTGTAGTGAGCAGCATTCAGAAGCTGGTACCTTCCTTGCTGTTCAAGCAAAAAATAGGCTTGTTTTCAGCCACAGAAAGTTTGGTGTTGTTTTGGTTTTTTTTTTTAAATATTTTGTGAGAGATAGCAGAAATATATCTAAACTACGTAAATGTTTTAAGTCAGATCTGAAAACTGCCAGGTGACACATCCTTCTTGGGAATTATCCATGAGTTCCTGATGGAAGAGTAAGTCCTATTTCTAATGGATAATCCTATTGCTAATGGATATTAGCACGTGACTGTTGCAGAGTAGAGAATTACTTCAGCAAAGGCAGGAGCCAAAAGCACCTGCCTGCTGGTGAAGGGCTCGTGGGAGGTGACACTGGTGCAAAATTCACCCATAGATGAATATCTCACAGCTTCAGCAATTTTGGCTTATCCCAGCAAATGTGCAAATAGGAAAGTGAAACCTTTGGTTTTTTTTTTGGCAAGTGCTGGCTTCCTTAGGCTGACTCTAACTGGTCCAAAAAACCAAACAATCAATAAACAAAAATTTGAAATAAATACTTATTTTGTGATATGTTAAGGAGCTGAAACCATTACCAGTGTTGTTTGGTATCCAAACATGTTCTTCCCAGTCTGGAGGATAGCTTATTTTTCAATATCATGCCGGCTGATTAAAGTTTTAGAACCCCATTTAGACTAGAGATATCCCAGACCAAGCCTTTCGTAGAGTGAAGTGTGTACAAGCATAATCTTATAATTTTTATTAACTATTTTAGTGTTACTGTGTAAATACATCCTGCTGAATTCAGAAGCTGCCTTGCCTGGCCTAAATGGCTGGAAATTTAAAATGGCACAGAGAAAGAGTTAGTGGCACATACAAAGAGTTAACTTGTAATGAAACAAAATCTTCTGAAGCACCAAATAGTCTCGTGCTAAGCTGCAAAGACGCTCGGCTCAGCCTTGCCTTGAAAAATAAAGACCTGGGTGAGGTTGTAGGGGTGTTTAGATGTTATTTTTACGTGATATGTTAGTACTGTATCTCATAGCATCCCCCCATTTTGTGCAGACCTGAAATAAGCCAGCGAAAGGAGAAAAGAAATCAAGAATAAAAATGTGAAGTTGGGGATGAGCCAGCTTACTTGAAGCAAAAGGATTCCAGAAAGGGGTTTAGAGACATGCACTTGAAAACTTCCAGAGCATCAGCGGTCTTTTTCCCGCAAGACATCAAGCTCTTCGTGTACAGCATTCAGGCCAGCATACCTGCTAACAGTTTGGACATAATAAACTTCAATTTGGAATTAAGCAAAGAATCCAATGACAGTAATCATGTCCGAGCTTCCATTTACTGTATCCATTGCTCAGAGTTCAACAGAGTAGCTTGCATTCAGTTACGAGAAGTAGCACAGACTAAGGCAACCTGTTTCCACTGCATGTGTTTGTTAGCAGGACTGATGGCATAAGAAATAGCCTGTGGCTGTGAAGTCGCCCCAGGCACATCCTGGGAGCGTGGCTCACTCGCTGCTTTTCCGAGAACAGTATTTCTTCGACTTCTAACAAACCAGGAGCTGCTCAAAGGCAGAGATGAGTTGCTTTTGTAGTTTGTGCCAAGGGCTGCGGAGGTTGTAGCTAGGTAATTTTTTTTTAATTGTTGGATAAATCCCAGTAAACAAACGTGCTACCTGTGTGCAGTGTTTTAAGTCCTTGCCAAGACTTTAATGAGAGGCATCTGACAAGTTGCTCGCTTAGTCCCCTGTCCCTGCGCTTTTGAGACAGCACGTGCCAAATTGGTGCCAGCTTGCCAAGGAAAGGACAGGGGGAAGAATGAATTTGAAGAAGGATCACATACTTCTGGATTTACAGGCTTGCTCTCATTAGAAAAACTTCACCAAACGTTCCAGAGCTCCAAAAGGGATTCACTTCCAAACCAAGTTTACCTGTATAATTGCAGCAACAGCCCTTCCAATTCACTGTTTCTGCTGTCACAGGGGGATGCAGTCGTTCTATCTAGATAGATATCTATCTCTTCTTAATTACTGCTAATAAAACACTTGCCACAAGTTAGAGTGGCTCACTGCTATACAGCCATTACCGCTGCAAACATCGTGCCTAGAAGTATAGCTTAATATTGTAGCACATCCATTCGGTTTGGCTTTGTTCTCCCCTTTCTGTGCTCCGGCTAATTGATGTGAAAATCATTCCCATCCATTTGTCTGCCGAGACTCAGTATATCGGAGACAAATCCCTGTCCTGTGCTTTGTTTGTGAACACCCTGTGACTTGGAGCTGAGCAAAATTGATGTGCTGTTGGCTTGAGAAGCTGCTGCAGAAGCTGGCCAAGCTGGCAGCGGTTAGCCAGGCAAAGCACAGAAGATTTAAGAGGCAGGGTTAGTGCAGCGGGGCTATTTTTATGCTTTTTTTTTTTATTAAATACTGCAAAGATGCATCCTTTCAAGTAACTTCTGCAACAACTGTCGTGTTTGAATTGCAAGGAGGGGGTAGTACCTTGGTGTTCGATTGCTTCTAGTCGAGACCTCACTGCTGCAGTTCTTCCCTACATGAAATTATTCATGTTGCTCTGAGTCTCTCACTGCTTAATGAAACAGTCATGTGGGAATTGTTTTGGGAAAGCTCAATCTGTGGCTCTTAAGATTTCTGCCGTGTTATTTAAATGCACAAACACATGTTACGTGCTGATCCAAAGCAGCAGCTGTGAGGACTAAAGAATTTTGCAGCGTTCAGAGGTGATGTAACCGAGCTATACAAAGGGCTGGACCATGAATTCAGTTTAAGCCTGTCGTATCACAAAGGCTTGTTTTAAGGAAGACATAGAAACAAGTAGACTTAGTAGCTGTATAGCTGCCTCAGTACGTTAGCTAGAACTGTTGATTGTTGTTAATTTGCCTGATGCTGTGCAAACAGCAGTGAGTATTACCTAGTTTTCGTAGAATCATTAAGGTCATGGAGTCCGACTGTTCTAAATACAAATGCTTTTTGTTGTGCAGTAAGTAGGCTGAGATTCTTCTGCAGGTGTCTTTACTCCCACATTTCATGGTATTGGTCTCTAAAGTCCACCTTACACCCCGTGTCGAGGGCGCGGCTGCGAGCATGCAGACATTTCTTGGGTGGAACGTGTCAGCTATTTAATCGTGCACAATTACAATGCAGAGCCATTTAAGGCACTAATTAGAAAATATTGTATCCATTTAGAATTGCAGAGAAAATATATAGGTAAGCAGAGTGTAATTACCCAAAGTGGAATTGGCCCAAGACTTGAAATCCATACTCCTGCAAATAGCACAAGGAGATTTTTTAATGACTGTAGATGATCAGGCTTCAGGTTTTTGTCCTGTTCAAAAGGCAGCATGTGCAGCAGAACCAGCTTTCCAGTGTCGTGGGCAAGACCAGCTGCACAGTGCTGTGGTACCCCTGATCTGTCAGAATTAACTGTTGGTTTTCCTTTTCTGGTCTCAGCCAAGTTCAGCACCAACAAAATGAGATTCTGCTTGTCCAGAGACAAATGCAAACCAACATATTATAGCCACTAATCTGTACCGTTAATTTGGGTAAAAAATACAGAAATGCCTTTATGACGTCATGTAATTACTGTGTGTGTAATTACAGTATTATCCCTCTACACATATATAAAGAAACTGCAATCCTCTGCTGAAGTATTTATTGCTGTTATGCATATTGCAGATAGTGCTTTTTTTTCTTTTGACGTAAACTTCTGTGGCACAAAAAAAGTTGGTATTTGTCCAACTGAAATGCTAAGTCTTAAGTAATTACCAGTCCAGAGATGAGTTAAGGATGCTAAACATGAATTAAGGATCTTTCCATGTTTACCAATTGTTTTAAATTGTACTCTTTCCCCCCTTGTAGACTTCGATAGTGGCATTGAGTGCAAGAACATTAATCATTAAATGGCCCATGGATGTCATCAGTGCTTCCATAGAAAGTCACTGTCAGAAAATTCATTTTAGTTCAAGGTTAATTAGTGTAACATTAAAATTATGTGTTACAAAAATTAATTACTTGCTGGGTCAAAAAGTGTGCCTTTGCTGACTCAAAATCACATTCTACCTCCGCTGCCCTGCCCAAGAGCATCCAGCAGAAGCAGTGTGAGCTTTGGTCACAGGTGTCTTCTGCCTCTCCTGCTTTCTGGCACCACGGTCAGGAAATTTGGCTCACAGTCCCCATTAGCAGATAAATGAGTCGCTCATCTTGTTCCCCACTGCTCTGTCAAGAGATTTATAACCAGGCGTGGGCTAATTTAACTGATTTCATCCGTGAGGGTCTGTAACTGTTTTCTGTCGCCTACTGGAAAACACAGGTCAGTCTGCTGGTGTCACAACTTGGGGGGTGTGATTCCTGGTTATCTGCAGGGTGCTTTCCAAGTTTTCCCCTGCTGACCAGGAGAGACTGATAGGAACAGTAAGTCTAATTTACCACGTGTACATAGTAAACAAAGATGAAAATCTATCTCAAACTACTTTGATCTAAGGGGATCCTAAGCTTCTTCCAATATCTTTGGTAGGCAGGGTGATCTGAACTTCCATTGAAGCCTTTCCCATGGTGGCAGACAACTGTAGGAAGGGGATGGGAAGAAAACTGCAAAGGTCTGCGGGGGGGCTCAAGGCGTGGATGCAGCAGCCCACGTTGCAGAGCTGAGAGGGGACAAATGCAGGTGATACCTGCCCAGACGCCCAGTTTTAATCTTCTCTTGCAGCAGAGACAGGACCTGTGGGTTAAGTGCCTTGGACCTGCCAGAGGAATGAGCTTTTGGGGACTTGGCATCCCGGTGACTTAGGCAGCAGTGAAAATCCTGCCCCTTATTGTGTAAGTTGTTGCTCCCAGAAAAGTCAGAGGTGCCAAAATCCCAAATCTATGCAGGAAAACAAATCATGTCATGGCTCCTGTGTTTCATGCTTTGCTGCTTTTTCCCCTCTACATTTTTGCTGGCTTGTGGGCTTGATGCTAAATTAATGAAGAATTGAAACTCTGTGTCACTTTTCACTTTTCTAGCGTTATTTAGTAAGTCCAAATCACAAGGAACAATAAACTGCATACTAATATCCTTTTTTTTACTACTTCTTTTAACTCTGTGTTAATTTGGTTTTTGGTGCTCAGTACTTATTAGCAAGACCGATTCTCTGTGGGGTTTTTTTGCCTGGCTTTGTTAATTTTTCTCCTGGATGTTGCAGGGCCGGGCTCTGCTCCACTGGGCATGTGACAGAGGACACAAGGAGCTGGTTTCAGTACTGTTACAGCACGCTGCTGATGTCAATATCCAGGTAAGAAAGGAATACAAAGTTGAATGTGATTGATGTGTTACAGAGTTCTGTGATTCTATTATAAGAACATCCAAAAAGGTAGCTTGGGAAAAATACGGAATTTTTAGCCACCATGGTTTGCAGGCCGCACGTCTGAGCTTAGCCAGCAGCAGTTTTAGGGTCCCTGAATAGCCCAGGTTTTGTCCTACACTGGTTCAACAACTCCTTTGCAAGTGGTTCCTTCCAGCCAGCCAGCTTGGGTCTGCCTGTGCCCATGAGTCAGCGCTCCCAGTTTTGTCAGCTTGGTGTAATTAAGGGCTGACTTGTGTAAATTTGATTGTATACGGAAATAATTGTCTAATGTTTTTGTGTGAAGTTATGATTGACTCTTCCCGCGATGGCACTTACTGGCTCTGCTCTCCTGCCCACAAATAACGGTGCTGGTACTGAGACACACATGAAATAGTTGTAAAAAAAGGTCTGTTTTACCCTTTCCTGGGCAGAATTGCTGCTGGGATGGTATGAGGAAGGACAGCGCTGTGGCAGCTGGTGAGAAACACATGTTCCTGCTTAATTCTCTGTGGTTTCAGTTTTAATGGATTTTATAGGAGTTTTTCCTCACATAGAAGAGGGGCAGTGAAGCCAGTACGAAGGGGGGCTTTGCTGTCCATCACCCTTCAAATCAGATCTAGTGGGTGGTGTATTGGATACATACAGGAACAGCTTTGCATTGAAACTGCAGAGAAGTTGGATCAGCCTGTTCCTTCACCTTGGCATCCTGGAGATGGCTTTTGGATTCTGTCTGAAAAATCTCTTCTCTTTGACACTTGTCTCATTCCTTTGGAGGTAAAGTCTGACTTTTAGAAGAAAAGGCAGAAGGGAGAACCTTCATAATTTTTTTTTCCTCAAGCATTCATTTTTCTCTTAAATACTTCTCTTTTTTCTTTTTGATGCATTGCACATATTCTAACCAGATTATTTTTGGCCAGTAACAAAAGGTTAATAATAGCCATAAAAAGAAAATCAATCTTTGATATTTTTTTTCCCCGCCGAGGTAATAAAGGAGAATTTTTTATAAAGGTCTCTGTTTGCACGTGGATGTGTTCCCAGAGAAAGCAGACACGTTTTTATTCTCAGCCCTATATGAATTGCAAAAAGTAACATTTCAAGACTTTGTGACTTCATGTTTATTTCTTTTTTTATTATTATTATTTATTTGTATTTTAACCTTTACCCTGTAAGAATTCACATCCAAAGCAAGAGCAGGAGGAATTTCAAGATCAACCAGAAGAAAAAGGGAGAGGGAGAAACTCTGGCTTCCTAACAGGCCATAAACACTGCAGCACCTGCTATTACGCATGACCAAATCAGTTAATGTGTAAGCTGTAAAGAATCTGTTATTTCAGAGCAATGTGCTCTCAGCAGAGGTTCCCTTCACACCTCTGTCCAAGCAGCTTCCACAATTCCCATCCACCTCTCCAGGTCTTCAGGTGTCCTTCTGTCTCGTTCAGTTTTGCAGCAGCACCTGTGTGCAGGCAGCATGAGAGATCAGGAATAAATTAGGGATTAGGAGGGTTATGAGCAAGTAGTGAAGGAGAGAAATGTTACAGACCGATTTTTTTTTTAATTGCCTGTGTTTTAGTATGCTTCTAAAAAGTTAGTCAAACAGTGTGACAGATTTATGCTCTCTTCCATTACCTTTTTAATAAATGTTCTTCCATCTTGGCTCTCTTGGAGTGTGCTAAAGGATTTAGCTGCCCTAAGCAAACAATGACAGTGGTGCTCTGATAGGTGACCTGGAGCAAGTCAGAACAGTTCACTGTGCCAGTAGATGTGCCTTAATACCTTTTTGCTGCCTTATTTTTAGTTACCTTTGTATTATCTGTTGTCAGAGTACTGCAGTCTCTGGATCAAGAGGGCCTGCAAGTGTCAACTTATTACTCTTTATTGATAAACAGACAGATTGGAAGCAGGAGGAGAGGTCTCCTCATTCCTGTAGTGTGCTCAAAACCACTTCAATTCTGGAAATAACCTCACGTCCCAAGATTGCAGTGGTCCAGCCCCTGTGCTTTTTGTTTTTTTCAGCAGTGCTGCTGCAGTTTCCGAAGGGTGGTTCACTAATGTCACTGAAAAGCTGCAGCCATTGAATTCTCTGCTTGTTCATAATTAGCTCTAATAGCATGTTTGAAAAGAGGTGGTAAAGCGATTGCCATGGGTGAGGGGATACCGAAAGGCAACAGGCTGCTCTGCTTTGTTGAAAAGGGGCGTTTGTGTAATTGAATTAGCTAAATCTTCAGAGCCAGAGGCCGTGTCAAAGTGGGTGGTGGGATGGTATTTTGGAGCTGAGTCTGCAAACAGCCTTCTTCCATTGGAGATGTTTGCCTTAAATGGAGTACGTTCGTAACATAACAGTTACGAAGGAGCTCAGCAACATGACTGTAATTTCCATTTCTAACTTTAAAACACGTGAAGACGCAAGTTTTCCTTGCAGAGGATGAGCAAAATTGGAACACCTTTTTCCCCTAAAGAGAGAGTTTTTCCTTGCAGTGTTTTCTCTGGCCTTGGGAAGGAGATTTTCTGGGGTCAAGGGAAGCACTGAAGGCAAGCCATGGCATCCTCGGCATTCCCTGTGCCAGGAGGGGCAAGCTGGCCTGGTTTGTCTTTATTTTATAGCATCATGGAATGGTTTGGGTGTGAAGTGACCTTTAAGATCATCTGTTTGTCCTCAGTTTTCTCTGGTGCTGCAGGGCCGTTGCAGAGGAGACAGCAGAAGTCTCCTGGGTGTGAGGTGCTGCTCAACCAGCTTTCAAGGAAGCTCCTTTAGTGTGTCTGAGGGGACATTGAGGCACAGTGTGCTGCTTCACTGCTCTTAGGTGGAAGGGTCTTCTTGGGGCATGGTCCTGGAGTGGTTGCCACAGCTGAGCTTACTCTGATAAAGCTTTTCAAGCCTATCTGGCCATGTAAACAAGTCTTAAATACTTGTAAGTGGAACTGTATCACTTGACACGCAGGATAATTAAAGGCTGTGTACATATCTATATGCTAGAGTAGCTGAGTTAAAATGGTATCTAAATGTTTTATGATTTTTAAACTGCATCATTGTGCAGTTATCAATGTTATGGTAATAATTTTCTGTGCTTTCAGGTTTTTTTCTGAAAGGACGAAAAAGGCTATAGCTGATGTTCATTTTCTATTTGCTGACTTTTCACTTTCCTAGTAAAGGTGCAGAGCACTGCACTGAGACTTTAAACCTCTTGCCAGCAAATTCCCAGTGGTCATCCACGGACCCTCAGGGGTTTGAGAGGGAAACTTGAGACGAAAGCTGAAAATCATCAGCAGTAATTTTGATGAAAAGCATCTAGTGTCTGTGCTGTCTGCAGAGAGCATTGGTGGATTTTTGGTGGCAGTGTTGGGTTTTTATCTTGTACCAATTCGTGCCAGGCTACCCAGTCATATTTATGCACTGAAGTGATGCTTGTCAGCGTATTTTGAGTTAGATGGATTTTTTTTCTTTTTGTTTGTTTGTTTGTTTGTTTGTTTGTTTGTTTTCCATAAGACAAAAAAAAGCAGGAGGAGCATGGTTGTCTCCCCAGGTTGTCTCTTTTCCCATTTCCCTGCCACACACCTCTAGGAAGACAGCAGCTTCCTTCCTCTGTTTGCAGCTCTGTTTGCTGTTGAGTCAGAGGGGGAACACGGAGCAGCCATCCCTGATAATACCTTCCCTCACGTCCTCATCGGGGATTGAAAAAAAAAATGAAAGAAACCTTTTCGAATGAAGACAATACAAACATAATAAGTGGCAGGGAGGGTTCATCTCCCTCATGACTCAATCCCTCTCAAACAACATTATTATTGACTGGCCTATTGGTTGCCAAAAAGGAAAATCAATTGTACCAGAAGTAGTTGCTGGGCCACAGATCACGGTACTAACCCAGCGGAGACAGGTTGATTTTTATCAACTATCCAAAGACTAATTTCCACCATTAGCTAAAAATGAAGTAGAAATTATGGATGTGTTGAAGATCGCTAAAATTGGTGGTCTGTTGGTTTTGGTTTATTTGTATGTTTTTACTGTTTTCCTGCCTGACTCCTAAAGGGATTGTGTCTGAATAGGATAAAAAAGGAGCAAGGAATAGTCAGGCTTCCCTACCTGTTTTTTGTTCTTTTCAGCCTTGTTCATTTGGATTTCACGGTAAAAATACAAATTGCTTCGGTCTTTGCACTGGGAGCTGGGTTTTGGAGGCATTGCATAGACATTTAAAAATTGTGCTGCTCTCAGCAAAGGTGTGTCCCTTCCCTGCCTCCTGCTCTGAATATGCATCATGCCCTCATGTTTCTGTGTCTGTAGGGATATGAGGAATTTGGTGTGAACATCTCCACTGTTCTGACTGAGGACCAAAGGCCACAGGCAGTATCTACACAGCTTTGCCCCTCCCCAGTGACGTGGGGGTGTGTCCATGCAGCCCACCACCCTTGCTGCGAGCTGGCGGGTGCAAACACCTTTTGGGTAGGATGCCAGCTGCCAAAAGACTCTGCTGTTAGGACCATCCCCTAAACCTGGCTGAGATTAAAAAGGAAAAATGTCTGAGCCTTGTGCCCTTGCAGTTAATGTCCCTAGTATCCATTTTCCCCCCAAATATACTAAAAGCCTGGCTCATAAAGCCAGGGGGGGCCCAGTCCTGTGTCTGATATTGCTGCAGAGGGTTTGGTGTAGTTACACTCTCAGCTAGCAGAGGATGTCGCAGGCACTGCTGAGCTGACCGTTGTGTGGTAGGGAGGTACTGTGGCAAATGGATGAAAACACCAAACAAAGATGAAAAGCAAAGCTATAAGAGCAGATTTATTAACCACAGAAGTGTCTTTTTTCCCTTCGCCATCCCTTGTCCTGATCCCTGTCTCCGTGTTTCCGTGTCAGCTTTGTCAGGCACATCTCCGAAGACTCTGCAGGCTGTACCCTTCAGTCTTGACTCTGTTGCCAGTGGGTGTGAAAGCCATTAGCCAAAAGAAAGGAGAGATCTGCT